TGTGTGTGTATGTCAGTATGTCTGTGTGTCACTAAGTCTGTGTGTCTGTCTGTGTGTGTATGTCTCTGTGTGTGTGTGTGTGTGTCAGTATGTGTGTGTGTTTGTCAGTATGTCTGTGTGTGTGTCAGTATGTCTGTGTGTGTGTCAGTATGTCTCTGTGTGTCTGTCAGTATGTCTCTGTGTGTCACTAAGTCTGTGTGTGTCTGTGTATGTCTGTGTATGTATGTATGTCTGTGTATGTATGTCTGTGTGTGTGTGTGTCAGTATGTCTGCCTGTGTGTGTGTGTCAGTATGTCTGCCTGTGTGTGTGTGTCAGTATGTCTGTCTGTCTGTGTCAGTATGTCTGTCTGTGTCAGTATGTCTGTGTGTTTGTCAGTATGTCTGCCTGTGTGTCTGTGTCAGAATGCCTGTTTGTGTGTGTCAATAGATCTGTCAGTGTATGCGTCTGTGTGTGTCAGTATATTTGTCAGTTTATGTGTCTGTGTATTCATGAATGTGTGTCTGTGTGTGTGTCAGTATGTCTGCCAGTATATATTTGTGTGTCAGTGTATGTGTATGTCAGTATGTATCTGAGAATGTTTTAATATGTCTGTCTGTGTGCGTATGTGTCAGTATGTCTGTCAGTGTGATTGCGGGTTGGGTGTAATTAAGGGGTTGGGGGGTTAGGAGCAGGGCCCCGGGGGCCCAAGAAAATGCATTGCCCAGGGTCCTAATCATATTATAGACGGCCCTGGTCAGTGTATGTGTCAGTATGTCTGTCAGTGTGTGTTTCTGTATGCGTGTGTGTCAGTATGTCTGTCAGTGTACGTCTGTCTGCTGTGTGTTTGTGTGTGTCAGTATGTCTGCCAGTATATGTGTCTGTCAGTAGGTGTCAAAATGCCAGCATGTCTGTCAGTATATGTGTCAGTGTGTGTGCAAGTGTGTCTGTCCGTGTGTGTGTGTCTGTCAGTGTATGTATCTGTGTGTGTCAGTATGTCTGTCAGTGTGTGTGTCTATGTCGAGGCCCCTGCGCTCTGCCAAAGACCTACTTATATCATCTGTCCGTATGCCTACCTCTAATGCTCGCCTCCGAGATTTCTCCAGGGCTGCACCTCTTATGTGGAACTCCCTTCAGTTCTCCATAAGACTTTCACCCATTCTCTGCTCATTCAAAAAAATCATTGAAAACTCACTTCTTCAAGAAAGCATATCAATTAAACTGTTAGCAGGTTTTTATCCCCAATCCCCCATGACTCCTCTCCTGCAACTGTCAAAAATTACCTACTAAGCCCTCAATAAATACTTTTCTAATAACCTACTTTGAACTCCTACTTTTACCCTTTGTGTCACTAGATCCCACTTCCTCTAGAATGTAAGCTCATTAAGCAGTGCCCTCCACCTCTCTGTTCCTGTACGTCCAATTGTCTGGTTAAAATTACATGTCTATCCACCCATTGTACAGCGCTACGGAATATGATGGCGTTATATAAATAATAAAATAATAATAATAATGTTCATGTCAGTATGTCTGTGTAAGTATATCTGTCAGTATATGTGTCTATATGTGTGTGTGTCAGTATGTCTGTCAGTGTATGTTTGTCTGCTGTGTGTTTGTGTGTGTCAGTATATGCCTGTGTATGTGTCAGTACGTCTGTTAGTATATGTGTCTGTCAGTGTGTGTCAGAATGTCAGTATGTCTGTCAGTATATGTGTCTGTGTCAGTTTACGTGTCTGTGTATCTGTATTTTGTCTGTGTGTGTATAAGACGGATTTGGGAATTGTTACTAACAATAAACTAGGCAACAATATGTAATGTTAATTGGCGGTTGCTAAGGCCAGTAAGGTATTGTCATGTATAAATATGCGATTAATTCTCAGAATAAATATATAATTTTTCCTTTTTTTTTTTTAAATCACTGGTAAGACTTGAATATGCTGTTCAATTTTTTGAAAGAAGACTCATATTGTTGGTAACCTCCATTAAAGTAAATTTCAGCGGCACACCAAATACTTTGCTTATTGATGCTGTTTAGAGTTGAGCAAACCCGGACTGTAAAGTTTGGGTTCGTACTGAACATTACATTTTTTGGACCCCGGACCTGAACACGGACATATCAGTGTATGTTTGGGTTGGAGTTCGGTGTTCGGCAATTTAATGGCGAGTTTTGAAAGACTGCAGGGCAGCCAATCAACAAGCGTTTGACTTGTGTGTCCTTAGAAGCCATCCCAGCCAATGGCATGGCTGTGATTGGCCAGTGCAGCATATAAGCTGGAGTCACATAGCGCCGCATGTCACATGAGCTCTTATTATCGTAGGGATAGGATGCTGCCGCTTTCAGGGACAGATTAGGAAAGAATTCTGCAAACTAGTACATTAGTGGGGTGCACTTCATATCTGAGAGAGACATAGAAGCGTCAAATAATGCGCTTACAGCACAGTTGTAAACATTCTAATTGTTTTGCTGCTAAACTGCTAAATAGTACATTTGGGGCGTGCTCTTGATATCCGAGAGTCAAATAGAAGCGTCAAATAGTGCGCTTACAGTGCAGTTGTAAAAAAATCGAATTATTTTGCTGCTAAACTGTTAAATAGTACATTTGGGGAGTGCTCTTCATATCTAGGAACACATCAATTGAAGATTTTCGATCTATATATCCTACTCATGCTTCTATACTTGAATGCAGGCTCATTAAAATGTGAGTAGGATTTTCTACTATTTGTATATACATTGGGATATTTACCAGTACGATATTGCCCTATATGAGTTTTATTGTTTCAGGGGCATCTGGACAAAGATCTTCTTTATAGTATGTTCTATGGTATATACATTTATTTATTTCTAATTTGTGTATAAATACTTTAGGACACACTTTTGGTTCTTTAGTGCGCTATCCACTTTATATTCTATTTCCTGCTTTATGCCATTCTAATTGTTTTGCTGCTAAACTGCTAAATAGTACATTTTGGGCGATATAACAATATTGTAATTCGGGGGCAATACCCTCACAAGTCAAACTGAGAGGTCAGTTTATAGGGAAAACTGTTACTTGGATACAATTCTAAAACAATTTCCATATGTCCTTTGCAGACTTTACATGCTGGAAAAACACAGGTGCCAACTGCTGTGGCTTTCTGCAGTGTGCAAACCGGCAAGGAGGGCAGGGTTGAGGAGTGGGTGGTAGATGGTGTGGAGGATGATGAAATCAAGGTCATGCGAGTGACATGTGCAGTTTGGAGGAAGAGGCGCTAGTTGCACAGAGGCACCAACACAGCATAAGAGGGAGCAGGGTGCAAAAGCGGAGCGGCCGTCCCCTAGCACTCGTCGGC